ATTACTTAAAGGTAAAAAATACAAACATTCTTCTATTGTTGTGATATTACAATTCATATTTCATAAAAACTAGAGTAACAAAGTCCTTTAATTATTATTCTGAAAAGAGTTATATCATATTCCTTTTAGCAAAAAAAAAAGTTTGACATGTTTACAAAGGTTTTCATTCAATGTGACTGGTCTTTAAGTTTAAAGACATAACTAGCTTTCTAAAAATTCACTTACAGGGACGTGATAATCTCAAAATGAAACCATCTAGATGGTACAAATGTTCAGGTGAAATTAAGTTGTTTTTTCCAACATCTCTTTAATTTCTAAATTAAAATCTCATTTCTAGATATGTCAAAGTGTAAAAATTTCTTGGAGCATAATCAGAAGGGTGCCTCATCAAACAGTATTAAGAGAGAACACATTTTTAAGTCACCATAATAGATTCTGGTTATTTTTATTCCTTGACAGCTTAGATACAGACATTGTTAATTTTATCTTTTTGTTCCTAAAAAAACCCTAAAAAACAAAAAACAAAACTTTTATTATATTCTTTCTGATTTAGCTACGTAAATATAACAAAATAGCTCAAAGACATTTTGATGCCCAGAAAAGATGTCTTTTACAAATGGTATCCAAAAATTGTGTGGATAACACAGAACAGAAAACCGAACCATGTAAGGGCTGTGTAATGATAGGGTGGGTTGGAGGTGATTAAAGGATTACTATATTTATGGTGAAAGCTCCGTTGTTTAAAAATGTACGTAAATAAGTGGTTTCACTATGAAGCCTCTCTAATTAAGTGTTTATAAACATATATTTACAAAATATGCTACATCTCCAGAGATGAGTTTATTATTCACTAAGCCTTACACAAGTTTATGAGATGTCTCGGGTAAAGGATGAGGGTGTGCTTTTTAAATGCAGTAGGTTTGAAAGTATAAAATCGGTATCAAGTCTCTTTAAGGGCAAAGCCGGCTTCCCAAGTCACCCTGTCAGGTAGGAAGCTGTGCACTCTTTCATTCATTCACTCCCAGGCGCACTTCTCAGTGCTGACGATGCCTGGTGAAGAAAACCAAGTTCCTGGCTTCATGAAGCTTTCGTGGAGCATGTGGTAAGTGTGCAGAGGTACCTACCACTATTCTAAGCACTTGAGAAGCGTTCATTCATTTAACCATCACTGACCTGGTGAGTCAGGGTTTCTTCCTACCTTCATTTTTTAGATGAAGAGGCTAACAGAGACCAGTTAAGTAACTTGTCCAGTTAACACTCTGCCAGTTCCCTGTCCACCCCTCATTTCCACACAAATGAAACGGAATTCTGTAGATGGACTCTACTGTTAACCTTTTTTCCCTGTTAGACTTCTAAAGACGAAGCGAAACCTATAAGCTGTGATCTGCAGAAGGCAGAGTGGCATGGCTAAAAGCAGAAGTACCGGTGGTCTTACTCAAAATTTTTGAAAACACAGTTTGAAGAATAAGATCATGAGGAACAAGCATTATCTTTATAAAGATAAGCAGAGTAGTTTTCACTACAAAGTCCTCTAACTTTCTGCTACACGGGCCTAAGCTGAAGCTGGCTGCTGTAATCCGGGTGGGTTATATTCCTTTTTCTCCAGTATTGTAGTCAGAGATTGTATTACTTGATAGATAAAAACATGGATGTATTAGCCCTAAACCCGCCATGGGCACTTAGACTACAGCAAAGCAGCATCTGAAGCCCTGGGGAAAAGAAATGAAAAGGTTTCACTGGACACTTGGCCTCCCTGGAACCTCAAGTGGTATGAAAAGACAAACAGATTCATCTTGATCAAAATTACTAAAGCATTTCAAGAAAGAAGGAAGATTAAGGCAATATATGGAGAGGAAAAATCCTAAAGAACTAATCCCCAGAGAGAACACACACAGGTCATATGACTTTAAAACAGTGGAACAGCTACCCCAGGTCTGCTTTGGGGGTATGGGGACAGGGGAGTGCTATGGTGACCACAGTAGCCACCACTGTCATGCACCGCCTGCCTCTTCTGTGCGGGTTGCAAAGCTCAACTTCAAGTTCACTGCCTCGTTTCATCCCACTATGAGTTCTGGTAGCCCTGTGGCAAGGAGCTGCACTGTCAACCTGCAGACAGGCAGTTCGAATCCACCAGCAGCTCCACAGGAGAAAGGCAATCTCCTCCCGTGTTGTTTTACTGCCTCTGAAAATTGACTGGAAGAGCAGCTATGAGTTAGTTCCAACAGGATGGTACACAACAACAACACTAAGGAGCCTGAGAAGCAGCCCTGGTGGTGCAGTGAGCAAGTATTCACTCAACTACTAACCAAAAAGGTCAGTAGTTTGAACCCACCACCAGCTCTGAGAGAAAAAGACTCAACAGTCTTCTTCTGCTCCCGTGAAGACTTACAGCCTTGGAAATCCTATGAGGCAATTCTATCGTGTCCCGTAGGGTCGCAATGACTTAGGTTTGACTTGAAGGCAATGGGCTTGGTGTGGGTTTTCTTAGACAAGTCTGAAATTAGCCATTTTTGCAGAGAAGGCAAGTCTAGTCATGCCTTCTTTGGGGTTCAAAGAGAATAAGGAATCCACTCATCCTCTTAGACTGTTTTCCATTCTACCCGTGATCACATCTGCAGTGAAACTTGCTCCTTTGTCAAAGACAAGACCATAATTTTTGAGGAGCACAATGGCATCCCCTGCTCAAAACAATAGTGGGGCAGGTTTGCTAGATGGTTCGTTCATGTCCGCATCCTGCACAGCGATCCTCTCCACAGAATAAAGGGAGTGCGCTGAAAAGTTCCCTCCAGAGAACAGAGCAGCAGAGGCAGAGCACTAAGCCACACCAAGATGATTTCTTAAACAGGAACTCATATTTTATACCGCAAAAAGGTGAAAAGCGGAGCTCCACAGTATTTCATCATTAAACTAGTTACATGGGAACAAAGTTTTTATCTACAATAGAGCATAAATTATGACTTACACCATACACAGATGTATAATTAATATCAGGTAAATGGAGGGGAAAAATTCCAATTTAGGTTTCACGCATACCACTTAACAAAGAAGTTTAGATTTTTATTGCATCACGGGCTTTGCCATCAAATACACCTAGAATTAAATCCCTGATCTTATGCTTCGCTATTCACCTGTCATTGATCCGGCGAGAGTTACTTAACTTCCTTCCACCTGTTGTTACTGCTGTTGTTTTTTCAATTGCCACACAGAGATAGCGCTATCCGTGTAAGAGACATTCTCACTGTGGGAATTAAATGAGATCGTGTATCCAAAGCCCTAGACATGTGCCTGGCAGAGACTAAGAGCTCATTCAACTGACTGTTGTTGTTAGATACTGTTGTGTCAGACACGACATAGAGCGACCCTGTGAACAACAGGTCTGAACCCTGTTCTAAACCGGGCCATCCTCCCTGTCTCTGACACACTTGGCCCACTGCTGCGATCACCATGGAAATCCATCTCGGGGGTCTTCTCCTTCACCCTTCCAACCATAATACAGCTTTCTAAGGAGCAGTCTCTCCTAGCAAGATGCCAAAGATACAGGACACGAGCCTTCGCCATCCTTGTCTCCAAGGAACACTCTGGCTGTACTTTTTCCAAGACATATCTGTTTGTTCTTTCGTCAGCCCAGGAGACATTCAGTAACAATGGTAGCTATTATTAATATTGTCCATGAACATATTTTCCAAGTATTTTACCACAACCTGTTACATTGTGAGTTAAGAGGTTCAAGTAAAGTATTCCTTAACAATCAAAGAAAAATTTCAACTTGTATCAAGGATTATAATTAATTTATAAATACTGTGAATTGCATTTCAAATATGTCCATTTTTTACCCAAAAGTGGCACAATATTCTGTACTACAACTTCTTTTATGTATAGTTTTACACATATTTTTATCTATACTAGAAAACATTATATTGTCGGATTAAAGAAGCAATAACTAATAATGTCTAATTAATGTCTAATATAAAGAAGCAATAACTTTTTAATTTGTAGTATGTTAAGGTATCCGTAAGTTAAATCACAGTAGAGTATGTAGGAAAAATTAACATAGCTCTATTTATCTGTAATATCATAAACTCAAACTTCTAAACACCCTTTATTTTAACCTCAGTATATGAAACAGAGTCAGTTTTAAGGATGTTTCGATGTTTCTTTTTTAAAAACAGAGAAAAATGTGAATTCCTACTGAACCAGGGAAATCTCTTTTAGAATAGCAGCCTGCCTGTAATTTACATAATGCTAATGCATTTTCTAATGAAGACATGGTTATTAAAAGGAGAATAAAGCATACATTGAAGTTTGTTTTGTCCAATTAAAAAAATAATTCAACCCTAAGGACAAAAAAATGATCACAATGCTAAAATAGTGGCAAAGAGTACAAAGTGAACTATAGCTTCCTAAAATAAATAGGACATTTCTTTATTCAGCTTATTTAAAAGTTAGTTGGAGTCTTGAGTTTTAGAAATAAAAGACACCAATTTACACAAGCAGCCAAGCACTTAACCACTGGGCCACCAGGACCCTTCAATATCAGTTTGACCTAAACATTAAAGGGCAGAATATCCCTCCGTGTGAAGGACAGTTGGATTCTAGTTTTGCTGCAATTAAATGAACACATAAAATTCCGAGTATTTCTTCTGATAGTTTTATCTCACGTGATTTATTTTAAAATAACAAGAACAACAAATTGAATCTAGCTTACTCAGTTACATCTAGTATCTTATTCTCTGTTCTTAGCTATAAAATTCCTAATTTTTTTTCTTAGTAAAAATACTTTTCTGGATTGCTTCCTAGAGTGGTTCTGAGTTTTAAGGGAGGCAAAGTAATTATTTGTGAAATACAGAGTTCCGTAACAGAAGGGAAATGAAGGGGGAAAAAAATGTTTGCATCTCCCTTAAGTTTTTATTTGTGCTACTTTAAGGTTTTCATTCGTTCCAGTTAGGGCGACCTCTTTTCCTACCCCTCTCGGTAGCAAACAATGTTACTGGGACTCTAACCTGGCATGCCACCACCTCTGGCCCGCCCTTGAGGCCCTCCACACCGAAGGTCTCCAGCTGCAGTTTGGGTAGCTGCAGGGTGAAGTCATTCCGACTCGCTGCAGTCCGTGACAGCGCGATCTGATCTCTGACCTAAAGGGAAAAAAACAGCATCAATGGTAATTCCCCTTCAGACACATTAACTGGGATGAACTGGGTCCCCTTGAGCCCACTGAGTGGACTTGCATTGATCCCTGGACCTGAAATCCATGAATAAATTTAGGACTAATTGATTTTTCGTTGCAAATAAATCTCTAATTCAGAGCACTAGGGGAGAATGTTAAGAAGAAAAAGCATCCTCCTGCTTGCAATGAGGTGGGGGAGAAGAGGCAGTGAGGCTCTTCTCATCAAGAGCCTTCCAATTCTTTCACAGCTCCACCTTCACCGTGGAAAGCAGGAGGGGGGAGTCCTCCCCAAACTCAAAACAAACAGCAGAGTCCTCTAATCATGCCCATTTTCTTAACAAGCCTCTTAATTTCATTACTATTAATTGATATCTACTGAGTAAGATTGTTACCAGGTCTCAGTCTCTGAGAAACTTCATAATATGAACCCTGGGATGAAAACAAATATACTCAACACAAAAGGGTATGTTCCAAACACAAGACCTCTGTCTTCCTTTTTCTCACTCTCTTTGAATTGCAACATCTTTTTAAACTCCACTCCTAACATTAAATACCTATATACTCAGTCACACCACTTCTAAGTAAGATAACATTGAGATAAATCAGTAGTATTTGTACTACATTTAAGTATTCGGAAAGGTAACAATACAAACACATCACAGATGCAGAAGAAATGCCAGTTCTCCAGCCCCAAATGAAATCGCATGCAGTTGATATCACACTGCCACCTTCTGGAAAAATGAGAAAATGCTCACAATAGAGTACTCAGAGACAAGAAAAGCGTTACGAAACACACGTAGTGGGTTTTCCTTTGCAAACTTAGTAAAAGGCTAACGATTCCACACTTTAGTTTGCCTTTCAGATTTAAGCAAGCTCTCCATTTTAATCACAGAATGTAATGAAAGAAGATTCCATATGGAGGCATATTTTCTACCTCTCCTCATGCTCGAGTAACCTTTCATAATTTATCCTTTTGATAGTACGTGTTTATTCGATATGCAACTAGCTCAAAGAAACAAGATATAGAGTTTTCTGGCTCAGTAAGGTAAAAAAAATGAGAGAAATATCAAAACAGCACCAACTGCCCATGTAAATTTTCTCTCTCCTGTCTTAACTTAGCAATGTCGAAAGCAACTTAGTCATAATACAAGAGAGCCAAGTCTCCATTCTTCCTCCCATTTTACTTGGGCAAGCTTATAAAAGTGCTTGAGTGATTCCGTGGGATGTGAGTGACTGTGTACACATTCCACAACACTGTCTTGCTTCAGAACGCTTCCTGTAACCAGCAAACACACACACACACACACACACACACACACACACACACACATCTTCAACTGTTCAAGCTACGCTATGGGCATAAAAATCCTCCCATACCCCCCGCTGATCTGAAGGGTTTCTCTCAATTCTGATGGCTGCCAAAACATACCCTATAATGTCATTTCTATATGTGTCCTATAAGCACAAGAGCGTGTAATCCATAAGAAATATCCATGGCAAGTATTTATCAGTTAGGAGAGGAATATTATTAAATTTACTTAACATAAAAAGATAAATCATATTTTACAAATATATTTGCTTTAGGTGTTTTATTTTATATGTATGATGCCTTCTCTTGCCTTTTTTTGTCACTGATGTGCACACAGATAAAAGAAAACATTAATGGGAATTAAGGTACTGAGAATTTATCAACATCAAACCACTAGTGTTTTGCCTTTCTACCCTTCTGAACCAAAGTCAATAGATCTAAATATTTTACTGCACCCTGGCCAATTCATTGTTTGATGTTTAAAAACTCACCCAGAATCAAAGAAAATTTATTAAATTTGAGCCCCCAAATGAGATACTATTAGCTTTGAAAGTCAAGTTTAACTGCGATATTGATGATTCTCTTTTTTCTGTGACAAAATTCACTAGGGAAATCCTGGATGTCAAAGTACAAAAGCAGATTGCTAATACGGGCAAAGAGGGAAAGAGAGAGAGAGAAGAAAAAAAAACTCCAAGCAACGTAGGTGTAATCCACAACCTAGCTTGAGCACTGGAGTTCCTTTAATCCGATTAAACCCAGGCACCATACTTCATCTGTGAAGCTAGGCATAAAGTATTTAAAATTCTCTAAATGAGCTTTATAAACAATATTATGCTTGGGCATTTAGCATCTGAAACTTTGATTTATTGTCAAATTAACATTTCCACTAAAGCATTATTTAACTTGGATTCTTCAATAATTTTTTAAACAGACAAAAAGAACCCTCAAAATGCAGCTGTTTCTGCTAAACCTAATAACTGACATCACAATTACACCATTATTTGCAAATATGCGTGTGCTAATACTTTCATTTCATTATAATTATCTGTTGGACATAGACAATGTCAGCAGGAGACTGTGCCCCCTGATCTTTATAGAAGCAAGATTGTAATTTCTCTACTAAAATTTTACATTTTCTGTACTTTTAAATTCAACTGAAACCTTGAGAGTAGACACTAAAATATTCTCAAAACATTCAGAAAAAAACTTTTGTTTTGCCTTTTAAGTTTTTAAAGAATTGACTAGGAAATATATTCTTTGAATATAAAAACGTAGTAAAAGCATCAAGTTGTTGATACAACAAAACAGAGCCACTAAGACATGCAGAGATACTATATAGCAAAGGAGCATAAGAAGAAGGTAGTGGGATTTGGAGGAAATAAGATGCAGGAAGAGAAGAAATGTAGTCAGGAGAAATGAAGACCACAAGGGTGGATTTCAGAGTGTGAACACAAGACATTGGGATGGCTTCAACATCAACAAACAGGAAGAAAGATGAAGCTCACTTGAATGCATTAATTTTGTTCATAAGAAAAAATAGAATAGACAAGCTGCGAACCAAATAAAAGAAACAGGCAAAAGAGAGATAGTGTGGCAAATCTTAAGGAAACACTGTCCTGTGGATACAAAATGTTTCAAGAATAAGAACCTAAATCTCTATACTGTCTAAAGGTTTCTGAAGAAACAATATTAGAATGGAAGAACTACAGTCTCTGAATTTTTTTTTCTTTTTTAAGTTAACCGGGGATGGGAGGTGGGGAGAAAAATGTGCAACAATGAGTGAGTGAATGTTCAACTTTTCTGTAAACTTTCATTAAAATCACAATTCAACAAAAACCTCCAACTATTTTCTCCTAGAAGAAAAGGCAGTCATCTTTTAAAGTATATATTTTAGTGTGAATTAGGATCAAAACAACAATCTTTTAAAGTATATATTTTAGTGTGAATTAGGATCAAAACAACAATCAATAATCTGTGGATTAAATTATAATTTCACATGTTGAATTCATTTAAATTTATTATTTCAAAAATTAGTTTTTAATTCTATTTACAGCACATTGTTACTTATCTTAGAAATTATATTCTTTTAACTCTGATTTGTTTAAATATATATAGTAAAACTACATGGGGGTTTTTTACCTCAAAGTAAATAATAATTCATAAAAACTATTCTTTTTCACAAGATTTCCCAACATAAATCTTAATTTTCAAATTGGAGACATTTTTATAAAATCCAGTAAAAAGCATACAACTTCCTATTTTGATAAAAATCTATATTGCTGCATTCTAAAATCCTTACTTTTAGAAATATTATTTTATATCTGAAAGTTAAACAATGAATAAAGATAGCATAAGAAGAACTGGTAAAAAGAAGAAATAATATTTTCCATTTCCTACTATATATTTTAGAAAGCAAATATATCTAAAACAAGTGTCATAAGGAATAAAAGAAAAAATATTTTCATAAAAACCAAACTTTCAACAAGTCAAATGTTACAGGATATATAAGTTCCAGATTTAAGTGACTCAGTATTGTGTTTCTCCTATTCCTCTAAATAACCATTAATTAGAAACTACCATGCTGTTTATACATTTTATAATTTTATAATGTATCCCTACCATAACATAACTTACTCTTATTTCTGCCATTAACTATGAAATTTAAATAAGTCAACTCTCAAAATGATGATATACATGCTTTATGACGCACAACTGTAAATTTCTTTCAACTTAATGTTCTCATTCTTAAAAACAAATTCATAAAATATGGTTCTAGTGATGATTTTATCAATATGATTCAAAGTTATAAAGTTTTAGATTTAAAAAATCCCAATATTTAAAATTCATAAAAGAAGATATATGTGTCTAATTAATAAGTGTTTAGAAAATGGAAGGACTATAAAGTTCTGATATCCAAAAGAACTGGTAAGTATTCAGTCTTTTCAGAAGGTAGCATGGGGTCAAGAACCAACGGCACTGAAGGAAGAAGTTCAAGATGTACTGAAGGTGTTGGCAAAAACTAGGCTCTGGGAATTGATAGAAAACCAACTGAGATGTTTCAATGATGCATGCGCTCATGCCATAAAATTTAAAAACAACAACCTTGTCAACCAAGTGGAAAAAAAATCCATATTTCTGCCCAAGACAAAGAAAGGTGATCCGAGATATTGCAGAAATTATCAATAATTATCATTACTGTCATGCACAGTGAGTTTTGCAAAAAATAACAAAAAAAAACCCCATTTACAGCAGAACATTGACAGAAAATGGCCAGAAATTCAAACTGGACATAGAAGAGGATGTGGAACAACATTCATCACTGCTGATGTCAGAGGGATCTTGATTGAAAGGCATTTTGCTCTGTGGATCACAACGAAATATAGATACTAAAACACTTAATTGTGTCATGTGGAATCTGTGCATGAACCAAAAGGCAATCATTCAAAGACAGCAAAGGGACAGTGCACGGTTTCAAATCAGAAAAGCAAAAAGAACTTGAGATACTCGATGATGTCACTCAAAAGACCACAGACTTCAGCACAGAGTTAAAGAAAAAAAAATTCTCACAATTGAACCACTAAACAAAATCATGACAAATAAAAGACTGAAGTTGTCAAGCATTTCATTTTACTGAGAGCCATCCACATTCAGCAACGGAA